ATCATCATCGTTTTAAACCATGTATCTGTGTCTGCATTTGGGTCCACCACAACACCAAACGTAACAAGCAAAAGTATTCTTGTAATGGAAACATAAAACTGTTTTTCAACTGTTTTTATACGTAAATGTAAGAATGGAGAGCCTGACAGGCATAGCAACAGTAAGGGTGGGGTTTATCCAAAGCCAGTTTATTATCGCAGAGAGAAATGAGGGAAAACGAGAGACACTTGAACAAAATAAGAGCGCGATTGAGGCTGAATGAAAGCAGGTAATTTCACACTCACACGCCGTCCGGCAGCGTAAGCGCCGCCCGGCAGAGACCCGCGCTGATTGATCCATCAGGGAAGTTCTCTCAGAGGCTCTTTAATGGGGTAATTTCTGCTGCTGATGCACAACAGAGACGGGCAGGAAACAAATAAGAAAACAGAGATGGAGAGAGACGGAGCTAGAGAGAGGTTGAGTGAAAGTAAGAGACAGAAATTACTCTCCGACTGCGAGAAAGACCCTGAATGTCTCTGCTGTGGTTTTAAACTGAGGGATGGTGAACTGGGCTTTTAAAGTCCAATGAACCAGAACCAGAGAGCTGTTAGCTTCCTCAGATTTCCTGTAAGAACAGGCAGTTAGAGACCTGTCGCTGTAGCCCCGTCCAGCAGCTGCAGTGGCTCCATTAGTGGACTCTGTTGGACTGGAAGCTCCCAGTGAACAGACTGCAGGAATAAAGGACTGAGGAGGTCTTATTACGTTAGTCAGCAAACGTACACAACTAGCTAACTGCAGCTAACCATTACTGTTAGCGACAGTTAGCGTCTCTTAGCAACGACTTCATCTGGAAACTTCATAAAAATTATTTTCATTCTTATTTCAACAATATTACTCTTGTTAGCTTAGCATAAAGACTGAATACAGCTAAAGCGCTTGGATTTCAGCTTACATCAGGCACTATAGGTGCTATATACGCCATCCCATAATATCACATTGGTTCTGGTATTGTTTCACATTTAATTCAATAAAACTGTGAAGATTGAAATTAAAGCTCCCCAACGTTAGCTTGGTGGCTAACGGTACAATCAGTTTATTCTCACACAAAGGAAGGAAAACGATTCACCTACATGTTATTATTATTATTATTATTATTATTATGACATTTTGATATATTTTGCCTCTTTATGCAACAGACTGAAACACTGACTGATACCAAAGGAAGAATGAACAGTGTGAAATATTATTTGTCAACGTCTGTCGTTATTTCCGATGTTCCTTTCTTTAACGAGACAGATGGTAAAAACATCCACTGAGTCAGAGAGAATTCATTAAGTCAGTCGGAGGTTCGGAGAGACAAAATGAGAGCAAGGACAGACTTTATTATCTTCATTGACATTTTCTTTAAACTGTTTTTGCTTCACTGAAGAGCTTCTGTCTTTATTTCAGCCGCTGTTCTGGAGCATAAAGCAGCTTTTATCTCACCTGAAGGGAAATGAAAGGAAAATGTCACAGAAATAAAACAACATGATTAAAACTACAGTTTGTGGCTGAAACAACAAGTCGGTCGTTGTACGGTCAAACACAGTCAGTGCGCTGCAGTGCTCATTAACACCTTCATTAGTTTGTTACTGCACCATAAACCACATAATTAATTATATCAGAGCACAATGCTGTTCTCAGTCTCTCTTTTTAATAAAAATACAGTTTATATTCTCAGATATACAAAAGAAAAAGCCAAAATATTCATTGACAGCACTGAATTATTCAGGTTCCTCACATTTAATTACATAGTAGACGGTAAATTAACCTGGAAATATCATATTGAACTTAAAAAGAATGAAGTCACTGAATGTGCTTTAACTTTTTATTTCAGCTTCATTGATCCTCATATAATGTGCTGTTATACTGTTTCGATCTGCTTTTCAGAAAATACAAACTTCTGTTTTTAATGTGAACATATAATCACACTGTGTGTTCATGTATAAATATTTATTAATATTAGAGACTCTTCTTCTACACTCCAAGGACTTTTATCTTAATCAATATTCACTGAAATACAGAGGGCCATCTCTCGATCTCCTTCCATTACTACGATCAATATCTACATTATCTTCATTTAATAAAACCCAACATAGTTCCCAACCTTTTTCCTCAAGGGACTCTTTTCAATCACTGAGTAAACTGACTGAATATAAATATTTTATGGATATTTCAGATTATATTCAACAGTAATAGAAACAAACAGTAGCTGCTGTGATTTGGATGAATATGAGTACAAATTCTCTGTATTGTGTATATTTTTTAGTTTTAACAATCACAGACTTCTTTACAAACTTTGTTCTGACTAATTCAGATACGTTTCTAATGCAGGATGAGCGGTTTATGAGACAATTCAGCTTTTAAATGATAATCTAAACTTTGAAAATAGTAATAATTCATTTAGTGAGAACTGTGAACTGTGAGTATATTTTTTAAGTCTTCCCACACCTCTGTGCTCTGATTGCAGGGATGAAAGTATCTGTATATTTTATGTAAGAAAAAAGTGATGATGTGAGGCCTTCTTGGTGTGTTGGAAGAAAACAGTGAATCTGTCAGAAAAGAAGATAAAATGATAAAAATACAAAAAATATCAGTGAAACTCATCTTTGATCAATATTCACAGGAAATAATCAAACTTCCTGCAGTTATTGTGTTCACTGTTTGTGTTCATTGATCAGTTTATCAACTGTTATTGATACTGATCAATGTGAAATATATATAAAATACAGTCTGATAGAAAAGGGCTCCTTTAAGGAAAAAGACTGGAAACAACTGTAACAACTAAGTTAATTTGATTAAACCTTAATCCATTAATTAACTCAAATATTTTAAGCAGAAAAGATGTTTGAGTCACAGTAACTCAAGTATTTATCTTTGAGGTAATTTGGGTAAATTAAGTAACAGAATTGATCTGAATAAAGTCACTGAAATGCATCTTCTTTACACAAATGTAACCTCCAAGTTTATTTAGCGACTACTTCCACTAAAGCAGATTATTACTTTACCTGTCAAACAGCTGACGACCATACAAACTATGAATGGCAGCCAGTTAATTTTCATCAGTTCTTTACACTTTGGGGAATCATGAAGAATTATTTGGATGCATACTCGGGCTTATGATGACTAATAAACTGAAATATAAACAAAAACTGAACAGTCCTACGCTGTATTATAATTTTTAAACTTTTATACGATATAAAGTCAACTTCAAGGAAATGAGTCAGTGGAACAAACCTGAATTACATCGACTGTACTTAAAATACTGAACACATTTAAGTTAATTAAGTTTACTTCAAAAATACATTAGCTGTCTATGAAAGTGGGCCTGAAGTGAGAAGAATATACTCTACCGGCTGTTTATGAATCACACAAACAAACAAACAAACAAACATCCACTGGTGTTTTATTTCTGGAAGAACTGGAGCTGTGTGTGGATGTAAACTACAGAGAGCAGCTGACTGAAAGGAAACCTGAGAGATTTTACAAAACAGAGAGAGAGAGAGATAAAGGGATGCAATGAATGGGAGAGAGAGAGCGAGCCAATACGGTACGAGGGAGAGAGACCCTGGGTAGAGAGAGAGAAAGAGAGAAAGAGGGGGAGGCTGAATGTGAGAGGCAGCGTGAGCAGAAATCATTCAGCTCCTGATCACCAACGAACACGACTTAGTGACTCTCTGGAAACTGAAATCCATATGAAACCTCTTCAGTCTGACGGTCGACGTACAGAACAGGAGAGCTCCTTCTTCCTCTTCCTCTTCCTCTTCTTTTCATAAATCTTGCTTTCAGAGGAAAGTGGCACAAAAGACGTGGAATTACCCCAAAAGGGGAAGATTAAGGGTTTAAAAGCTGCAGGAATACTGAACCAGGTCTGCGCTGGAGGATTTGGAGGGGGCACTGACATTTTCCACGGAGGGTTTTAACGCCAGCAGGAGGAAGATTTCAGATCTGTGTGTGTGTGTGTGTGTGTGTGTGTGTGAGAGAGAGAGAGAGAGAAAGAGAGAGAGTAAAGTTAGAGAGGTGTCTTTGAGTGACACACACACGTCAGATATCATCATGTTCATCATCCGTCTCTCTCAGCGGCGCGCTCACAGGTGCAGCGAGGAGCTGAGGACGCTGGAGGATCCACACACACACTCATGAACAGACAGTGCAGGTATGTAGCTGGAGGTCAGCGTGCCTTCAGACGGGACCTTCACAACCCGTAACGTCTCAAAGATCTGACTCGTAAAGTTTAGAATCTCGTCAGGATGAAAACATCAGTGGTTGTTAAAATATCAGAAACTGAAGGTCAAACTTTTTTCAGCCTGAAGACACTCGGAGGACGTTAGAGTTTTAAGCTCCTGGACTTTAAATTTAATTAATATTTTTATTGCAGCTTTGTCCTCCTCCATTGCTTCACATATTCAGTCAGAGGATGAGAACGATTGAAGACACCTGAGTCCAAACCTTCCCAGCGTTGGGTCTGGAATATTTGGTGTGTAGTGACAGTGAACGCACCTTCAGACGAGAGCCTTTTTAACTTGTAACATCATAAAGTCAAAGGTAACAGTCCTGTAAGGATGAAAGCATTATTTTATGTTTGCATCATTAAAATCAAAGACTAAGGGTCAAAGTTCGTCAGTTTGAGGAGAAACAGACTCAGATTGGTTTTGTCTTGGACTTGAGTTGGAACTAATATTTTTCGTGAGAGCAGTTTTGTCCTTCGATTGGATTCTATGATCAGCAGATGAGAAGAGTTGAAATCTTTACAACCTTTCGGAATATTTGACGCCCAACTGGAACCTTTCTTGTTGTTTGTTTAATGTCCGTGTGTAGTTCACTTTTTAACTCATTAAGTCTTATTAAATCTGCAACAAAATTAAAGTTACGTTTGCATCATTAAAATCAAAGACTGAAGGTCAAACTTCATCAGTTTGAAGACACTCAGAGGAGGTTAACTTTGGATTTTAAGCTTCTGGACTTCCGATGGAACTAATATTTTGATCGTCCTCCATCGATTGATACAGATCCAATAACCAGGAGATTAGAAGTTGCTCCAGCGTTCGCTTTGGAATATTCGGTACCCGACTGTTTGTTTTTTGGGGACTGTGCAACGAGCTGCTCTTCCTCAGCTGTCAGATCATCTGTCAGTCGGAGGGTCACCAGACAGCCTGAAACATTTGGGAACGTCCCCGAATCCGGGTCCTGTTTGTCCTGAATATGAACCGTTGTAGTGATGGATGACTTGAGCGAGCTAAACCGAGATCTGACTCTGAGACACAGTAATGAAAATGCTGCATATTGAATGTTTTGTGTTGTCACAAGTGCTGCCAACTTTCAATCAATAATTAATAACGTTAACGAGAAACAAGCTGCTGTCACCTGAATAAAGACTCATTCAATTATTAATGAGTCTACATGAATTAGTAGATTAATATCATTGTTTTGACTTCCTGAATCTGAAATATTCCAATCAGATCATATGTGGGTTATAATTCCTGCTTTACCTATGGAAATTAGTTTTATTGATGTGTTTTTATAACAGATAGTTGGCGCCATTTGCCTCCACTGAGGGAAGAATTTGCGAAAAAATATTTAAAACCGCTCTGCTGTAACGGTTCAAACACACCAGTTGTTATCTGGTCGCTGTAGTCTGACCGCGGAGGTTCTGCTGATAAATGCAGGTATATTCAGCAGAGAGGACACAGAGCGAGTAAATGATGCGTTCCCTCCGTCTTACTCCGCTCTGACCCGGCTTCCTGTGGCGTTTGCCTGTGACACCATGAACCTGCGTGCCGGAAACGTGTCACAGTGGATCTCCAACACTGCCCGGGCCACTCTGGAGTCCGACACCTGGCCTCCACGTGGGTTTGAAGATGGCGCCGCCCGGATCAGTAACGCCACTAACTCAGGGTGTCACGGGAACTGGTCTAACGTTGGCGGCGTGTCTCAGTGTCCTTCCCGGGAGACAGCGGTGGAGAAGAACTGGGCGGCGTTGCTGATTCTGGTCGTCATCGCCGTCACGGTCATGGGCAACATCCTGGTGATCCTGGCGGTGTCGCTGGAGAAAAAGCTGCAGAACGCGACAAACTACTTCCTGATGTCACTGGCGGTCGCCGACATGCTCCTGGGCATCCTGGTCATGCCAGTTTCCATGGTGACCATCCTCTACGGTAAGCAGTGAGTGACACTGATGTTGGGTTGACATTATGGTGTGTGAGTTTCTGCATGAGTTATTAGAAGCAAGCTGCACCTGCCTGCATGTTTAAGGCCCAGATCACATGTTCAGCTCGCCAGAATTCATGCGTGACTGTGAGGCGGCGGCGGCGGGGACAGATGGAGAGCAGCAGTGATGGAGGTGTTCTGTGTTGTTGTTGACAGTTTATTTGTGCTTCAGTGCAAAACGAAAGTGACAGAACAGAGTCCAGAGAGCAGAACGAAGGAGGACAATGAGGCTGTAAAACCAACACAAAGTTCACAGTCACATGTCTTACAGCATTACTGTATATGTGTTAATGGTCTTTGGTGCCTTAGGTTGTAGAAACTCTTTACATATAGGGGTTATTTTATATGAAGGATTGTTTTGTACTCTGAGAGCCAAATGCTGTATGATGGTCAAAGGGCCAGGAAGTTATTGGTAAAACTGGAACTTCAACAACCTGTGCAATCTGTGCAGATTTAAACACAATAATGTCTCTAATGAGCTGGAATGAACAGGAACAACACTCCTGTTAACAGCAAAGCTATTCTTAAAACATCCAAATATAAAGAGTTTGGTGTAGAGTTCAATCTAACACTGAGTAACAGCAGAGGGCTCAAAGAAAAACTGATTTATTTAGAGCTTTTTTTGGACTGGAAATCAAATTCAATAAGCAAGAAGGTTACAAAAGTTTTCTCCCATCATGCAACACTGTGGGAACTAAATAGAAGTTTTGATTGTTATATTTATTCTTTTTCTTATTTTGTGGCCAAATATGTTTTGTAAAAAATACATTTGTTGTCTGAATTATACAGTAAGATAGATAGATAGACACTTTATTCATCCCCAAGGGGAAATTTACAGTTTCCAGCAGTATCCACAGACTTGGATAAAACAGAAGATTTAAAATTTAAGGAGGCATGCAAAGTACTAATAATAATAATAATAACAACAACAGGAGGCATGCAAAAGAACCAATAAAATCAATAGTAAGATAACAGTGCTTATACCGTAACAGTTCAATCTCCAGTGTGTCACATTACTGTAATGTAATAACAATAGGTATGTTTCCATTATCTTAGAATGACACATTTTAATCTATATTCATCTTCAGCTAGCTAATTGCATCTGATAGCAAATCAATAGCTACCTAGTAGCTAAATTACAAAAATCAATAGCTGATGTTTTGCTACACAGAAAAACACTGGCTAACTAGCTAATCTACATTAAATAATGTGTTCAATTAATTAAGCAACAAATATGGCGACGGCACAGTTGAGCCTCCCTAAATCACCGCAGACATCAGATAACGTTTAAAACCTGCCAGTGAGACAATGAAGAGTTCAACCTGAGAGCTGCTGGTTTCAAATCTTTTAAAGAGCTTTTATTTAAATTAAAATTACTCTTTCATACATTTAATACATTGTATAATAAGAAATACTTCCTCCAGTCTACACTTCATTTAATGATGATGAGCATCATTGTCATAAATGATATGGATGGTTCTCATTGAAGAATGTGTGTCTGGTGTCCTCAACTACTGGATTCCTTTCACACATTTAACTCAGCATGCTCAGTGCCATAAACCCACAGGAGATCCACTCAGGTCTGAGCCAACATCTTTCCTTAATGGACCTCTTTTCTATAATTTATTAAACTGATTCAGTGACATATTTTTTTATAGATATTTCATATTCATATTGTACAATGAACCCAAACTGCTGAGCAGATTATTTCCTGTTTAGGAAACTTTTTATACAATTCTGTCTATATTCTGTATTTTTATCTTTTTAACAATCAAACAGACTTAATAAGCTTCTTTTCTGACAGATTCACTGTTTTATTCTCCTGGAATGTCAGCCGTTGTTTTATAAGGCAGTTTACTTTTCTTCATAGAAGTGAACCAGATACCGAGCTCTAAGATAAGATAAGATATTCCTTTATTGATCCCCTTTAGGAGAAATTCTGATTGACTCAGCAGCATTAGGGCAAAGTAGTGCAAAAGAGTACAAAAAATATCACAAAATAAATATAGACCTACTGTGTATATTTTTAAGTTTTCTAGCACACCTTAATATCAAGATTGCCTTGCAACTCCCCGTGAAGGTTTGGCGATCCCTAGTGGGGGTCCCAACCCCCCAGTTGGGAACCAGTGAGCTCTAAAACACATGGTTAGTCAAGAACAGGACTGTGGAACTGTTCCAGTCTCATTAAAACCATCATCAGAAGCAGTTGGTCACCTTAAAATAACAATCACTGTGTTTCGTTACCTTAGAAAGAGACGTTTTTATCTACCGAGGGAGCGGGTTCTCTACTGGCGGAGTCCGCCATGTTGATCCGCCATGTACAGTAGCCCAGAAGGGACAAACCAAACAATGGATCTAGATCGGGGTGCATTTTGGGCCCACTATCATTTCTCCTTTGGAAAGTGAGGGTGAAGGATCAGATCTGCTGAATGCCACAAAATCCTACACAGACCTTTTAAGACACAAGTTTGTTATTTATTCACCGTTTGTTGAGATTCCTCTAGAACGATTAATGAATCTTTAGAGTGAGGAGAACAGAACCTGCTGCTCTCCAGCTGAACTCTGCTGATCAATGATTGTCTGCAGCAGCTTCAGGAAGCTGAATGTTTCCTCTGCTGTTTATCAGTCTCACACACACACACACACACACACACACCTTCCACCATCCCTCGCCACTGCCAAGCTGATTGCCTCTCTGAGCATCTCTGTAAATGTCACGAGTCGCTGCTCACACGAGGAGCTTTGAGCTTTAAGCAGCAAATTTGCATGAGAACGAGTGCCGCGAATTAGTCAGAGCGCTTCCCGAAGAGCGACCCGTGGAGCTCATTAATCGCCTTCCCCGCTCGTTAATGAGGAGACAAAAGAAGTCATTAGCCACGCCGACGCCAAACATAAACACGCACTGCAATTATATTCTCATGTAGCTACACGGCGGCCGACTCAGAGAGCGAACGCCTCTGATGAAGTGATGTCATGATCTGAGGTCATTACTGATGTCAGGAGGAAGATTGAAGGTGAACGGCGAGAATGAGGTCATAGATTAGTTTGTGGTTAATGTCGCGGCGGTGGCGAGTATTACATCATTAATGAGGTCATTAATGAGGTCAGAGCGCTCATGCATGAAATAATAGAACGAGATCACAGGTGATTATTTTAGATTGATCATATATTAGAGCAGCTGAGACAAGAACCTCCCTGCAGTTCCTCTAACGGCCACTAGAGGTTCCCCTAGCAAGTCTCCATAAAGTCATATAATCTGTGGTTTCAGGCAAACTGACATTGATTACTACAGTCTGGTAACGCGTCTGGACAGGATACGTGTATGTACTGATGTTCATACTTATTGGTGCAGCGGGCAGGGGGTGGGCGCCCTTTAGGGGGCGCTGTTGATCCATTTTTGCCAGACCTGTGTGAGAGAACAATATCATACGTACATTTTCACCACCGCTGAACTTTGTGCCATGTTACATGAGCATGTTGCAACCGCCAAAATGTGTTGGGGAATAAAACAATAATACAGTTTCATTAGGATCACAGTGGTCGCTACTAATTTAAAACCAACTAATTTAAAAAAATCTACTTCAGTTAAGATTTTAAATGTAAAATTATGAGTGGTCCTTCAGTCGTAGCAGAGTGAACCTCGCTGTGGAGTGTTTCTGTCGGGGTTCATCTCTTCTGATCAGTTTTTGAACCAGAGAGGAAGAGCAGACACACACATCTGATCTCAAACAGCCACCAGCCGAATGTTTCAGCTGTTTGCCGTTTTGGCCGGTGGCCCAGAGATGATTCAGAGATCCGCTTCTGTTTGGCTAAAACAAACATTGAAAGTGTCTCGGGAAATTTGGGATTAGCGTAGCATTGTGGCTGTGTAGACACCTGCTGCCGTACTTCTGATTCTCCTCATCTCTCCTCTTGTTTCCGTCGTTCGGTCCCCGGGGACGAGCTGTCAGAATAAAACTGACAGACGGATGCACAATCCTCCCGACACTGCTGCCTCTGCTGTACAGAGCTCCAATAACTCAGTCTCACTTCACTGGAATTTGCACCCATGATAGTTGGTGCAAAAGATGTGCCGTTAAGAAAACATCTAAAACTGAGCAAACAAGTGTCAGTGAGTTGTTGTTGGACTGTGGTCCAGGTCAGCAGACAGTAGGTTCTCTGCAGTTTATCACATTTGTTATTGGCTAATGTGGCAGAGGCAGAAATAAATGTGCTGCAGTGTGAAAAGAACCAGAACTGCCAGAATCCTTCAGAGAGAAACTTGTAACTCGCTAATTGGCAAACTTAAAGAGGAACTCACAAATAGAAACGTGGTGATGTCGTTCTTTAGTTTCGCTGTTGGAACGAATCAACCCTTAAAAATAAATTCTCCAAAACCTTGTGTGTGTTTGTTATGGTGGAAAACAGCCAAAAGGTGGCAACCAGTACAGAATGGATCCGTACAGGGCTCCACAGGAAGGCTCGGGTGAGGCCAGGATGGTGCAATCTCCAATATAATATACATCATACTGAGATATAATATAGGACTACTGTGCATATATTTAAAGTTTACTTGCAGTCTTAAAAAAAAATCAAGAAGGCCTCGCGACCCTCTGTGAAGCTTTGGCGAGCCCTGTAGTTATTATTAGTTCCTGCTTAGTACCGCTTTTGTCCACAAGGGGCGCCACAATCTAAACACGATTACATCTGACTGAAATATCGCCACAAATATGAAATGTATTGAAATGTTGAAGAGTAATCTGTTGATGAGGATAATATTAATCCTGTAAAACGGATTATCACATTCTTCATTATTCTTAATGGTGTCAAGATGGCGTTGTGCGACTGGCAGCAGCTCTGCCCTCCTTTCTGTGTGTTTCTTGTAGTATTTTTATTGCGTTTTTCTTACGATAATCTCCATCGTAACGCGTGAAGACACCCGTCGTTTACATCCAGGATCAGCTGAAGA